AATAGTATCACTCAAAAACACGTGATGAACTAAATTCTTCTAAAATTATTACAGAGAATGTCCATGAAGCCAACGTTTTGCGAAAGGCCCGTGTGCTCATATTTGGGGGCACGTTAAAGAACCCCAGGTGGTCAAAAATTTCGGAGCTCTCCACGACGGCACCTCTCATAATCATATGGGGGTTTTGGGACGTTAAGGCCCACATATCAATCAACGTTTTGGCAGAAGAACGTTTTTTCGTTAAGGCAACGATGTGTCCCTGACGAAGACAAGTCAACGTGCCGCCATTTCTAGCGACGTTCTTTCTCGAAAAACTTCTGATCGCTTCAAACCTCTCCGGGTCTCTGAACTTCAGTCTCGTCTGATACTCAAGTTCAAGCTATGCGCGCTGTCAGAACAAACGTGATTGAGCCAAATACGACGTGCCCTACTCGCGATCATTGATAATTTTCGCATTGTTTCTGGTATTATGGGTTCAATGTTTGCTCATTATGTCCGTATGTCAGTTGTAAATGATAGCTGCTTTTATAAATTGACATTTTCACATGACGTGTGTCTGTTTCTTTTTTTACAAAACGTTTGAAAAGAAGTTCATTTTATTTGGGCCGATTGAATTTCGTCTTACTGATTTTCATCTCTTTAGTAAATATGAACAAATTAAAAAGAAAAGATTTAGAAAATCTTAGGGCCAGATTGCCCAAGCGCCAAGCGGACCTGAAAGAAGGCACGAGTGAATTTCGCTGGCAAACGAAGTAAGGAAGGAGGGCTTCCACGGCAGCACTCTTCCTCTCAAATTTGTTCTTTCCCTCCACTTAAGGACCTCACCAGTGACGTAACGAAAACAATCACCTGCTTGTGATTTATTTATTTCTTCTACGATGCCCGGCAACCGCCAGTGGTTAAAGCGGCCCTGCCACTTCCGAGAGCGAAAACATGGAAGGTATAGGGAGTTCTCACCCCCTGGTTTTACTATCCAACCCTGTAGCTTCATTCGCGTTTATAAGTTCTTACTTGTTTACAAGTTGTCGAAGGAGTGTACTGAGTGTAGTTACTGTCATGGGTGCACAATTAGCGATCGAACTATACTGCACAGTAGAAAACATGAACAGGTAAGAGTATCACGAACTGGCCCATCGTCCACTTCGATTTGAATCACTAAACTGCGAGACTGTTCCTCTAGTTCTCGGGCTGGAATGCGGCGTGCGCAAACAATGATAACCTTGGTTCATGAACACAGGAACAGTTGAGAGAAACATACAGTGCACGACCGCGAGGTGCTGCCTCTGGACTTCGAGATTGCGGGAAGGAGCGCGCGCCTGCCGGGGGACCCTAGGAAACGATGTAACCACGGGCCGGTGGCGACGGAGAAGAAAGCACAAAGAATGACCGCCTGAAGGAGAGGCCCGGAGAGAGAGATATATATAGAGAGCAAAAGGAAGATCGGGAGGTTAACTGGATGTTGGCATCCAGTTTGCTACCTAGCACTGGGGGAGTGGGTAAATAGGGCACGAAAGAGGGGTTAGATAGAGAGAGAGAAAGAAAAAAACGCACGTGCACTCATGAGAAAACGAAAACATACACAGGAAGAGCGTTCTGGCTGCAACCGTTCAGAAAGGCCGGTCGATCGCAAAACGTGCAGAAGCGCTTTTAGGGCCTTCTTCTGTGAAGTTGCATCTTGTCGATATTGTAAAATTCTTCCCTCCGACAGAGGCTGATTATTTAGTTTGCTGAGTTGCTTGCAAAGGCATAGTTGTTGTCTACTATACTCTAGGCAGTCACAAAAGATATGTCGGATGGTTTCTTCTTTGCCACAGTGACCGCAGGCTGCGGTTTTGGCCATCCGAACGTGGAAAGCGTGGAAGTTGATAACTACAGCGCCCAACCACAGCCTACATAAAAGGAGAGGCCAAAACGCACACGCACCCTCCGAGGTTCGAAAGTGGTCCCCTCGAACCCTCTCTCGCGTGGCCGCTTGTCAGGTGAGCGTGAGTAAGGCCCAAATCCCGCCAAAATTAGGCCAATAGCACACCGTGTTAAACATTAAGGGGCGGGATGGCAGCGAAGTGACGGCAATTTATGGCAAGCTGCCATCTGTCCGGTCAGGAGAAAAGGGTCTCGAGAACTCTGCTAGGTAAAATGGCGTCGAGCGATTGGCGCCGACGCCTTTATTCCAACAACTTACGCACTTCACTCTTAGTCTAAGAGCATACATGTTTAGGGAATAATTAACAGATTCCTTTAGAAGCAAAAAAAAAAGAAGACACGGAAGACACAGACGACGACACTTGCGTGGATGTAGTTGTCCGTGCCTTTCGTGCACTCTGTTGTTTACGCGATCCTTGTTTTCTGAATGTGTACTATTATTCAAAGACCTGCGTGTACTGAACTAATTATCAGCCACAGCCCATAGCGTGAATGTCAGTGCTTGTTTTGGTAAGTATTGGTGCCATATTTCCTGCTAATATTTACGCATGTGAGGTATTTTACTTCATCGTATTGCACTAACGGCACGGATAGTCGCTTGGAGTTCACACGTTTGTATGCTTTTAAAGCGCAGGAGTACGAACACATAAGCAGCACTTTGAATTTCCTAATTCAAGGCCAATCCATTTTTATATAATTGCCGTCTCATGCCTGAAAATTTCTTAACAGTTCTTCACTGCTAATATTCCCCGCCTCGAGCCGCGGTGAACATCGCACAACGCCGACGGAAAGTTTTTTTCGACTGACCAGATCGGGACTAGAACAGATCCGTCGGCCGAAAACCCAGGCTTGTTGTATGCAAGAAACATTGATTGCGCCGCTGTTGTTCCCGGTTAGTAATCGTGTTCGAGGCTATATGGAAGCTACTCGTAAGCCGCCTGATGTATTTCTTTCATTTTTTATTTTTATTAGCAGTAAACTGCAGTCCATAGACCAAGCAGGCGGCCAGGGGGCATTATGAAAATTAATTTACCGTGTAACTTCAAGCTGGAGGACCCTGCAGTGGCACACCGTAAAAGGTAACAATGTTTGCCATGACGGCCGGCGGCCGGATCGAGTTTGCGCTATTCATAATATGAGTTTTGCTTTTTCACCGTCTGATAACGCTTGTCACCACACTTTTATACATCGCTTATCTAGCCAGAGTACGATCGCAAAATAAGTCGCTTACAAGACGATAAGCCACCCAGCACGCTGATCCGGGCACCTTTATGAAAGCGATAATGGTAAATGCTTTATTTAACCATTGTCCAAACTGTAGATCCACTTAGTGAACGTTGGAAACACTCCGTTGCAGTAAGGTCACGTAGTAAATCATCATATGCGAGCTGCCCTATCCATACAAGCGCGAATAGTTCATGGCATTCCCTAGTTTAACGATGAAATGGCCGTGCAAACCCTTGCGTAAAACAGTGTGTAACAGCTGAAAACATATGTCAAGCTGTAAAGTCGTTTCGCAATGACTTAAACGGTTTTGTCTCTAACGCTTCGAATTGTATGTTGACGTGGCTTTCTCTACCCCGTAGAAGTGACATTTCTTTTTCCAGCCACAAGTACGACGCAATGATTGAGTACAACGTTTGAATGCAGCAAACGGAAAGAACCGATGCGTAAAATTTGTTTTAACAACACTTACACAATTTAGGCATATCGAAATAATATTGCCTGAGGTTAACTGGTAATATAATGCCCTCTCTGACCTACTATTGGCGCTGAAGCTAATGATAACTACTTTTGAAGTGCCGAATGACTACGCAACAGTTCAAAGGTATAATTATTTCGGATGTGTCACCTTTGTGCAACTTCCTCGTCCACATCAATACAATTGCATCACCAAGGCTGCATCACCATTAATTTCCACAGACATCAACTTGTGATTCAAAGTGTCCTGCTTTCAGCCGTTATGACTTGAGTGTGCCCGGCTTTCGACGTCATTTTAGTGCACTGTACGTCCACGTGATCAAGACAGCTGCTTGGCATGAATACGCCTGTTAGCATCATGATGCTTGGCGCTAAAGCAAACAATGTGAGAGATAGACTGGTCATCGTAGCCTATTTCGCATAACACGTGTGGACTCCAACAGCACTGAAATGTTCCATTGAAAAGTATTATTACAAGGTGTAAGCAAAATTGTGGTCCACGTCTACATTGTTGCTTGACTTTCGAGTTGCAAAAGCGGCCAGACCACCTAACTGAGATGTTAATATTCAGTATGGTCATGATGCCGTTATTGAATTCGGCCGTTTCTCAGTGCAGGGCTGTAAACCGGAAAGTTTCTTCTGGTTAACCTCCCTGCCTTTCAGCAAACATCTTTCTGTCTTTCTCTCTCATCTTTATGAACAAACGTATATGCCTAATTTGTGAGATTGCCACCGTGAAGTTTAGTCTGGCAAGCATGATTCACAGCAGAGAAGATGTAGAAGCAAGTGGTGACAAATTGTCCCGTTAGAAGAAAGTGTATCGGAGGAGTCTACACAAAAAAGCGAAAGCGCATCGTGAGTGTAGCTCGAACTCAGTATATTGCAGGCAGACAAATGGGTAACCAAGGAAAACGCTTTCGATTATAAGTGTAAACTCACAAATGCACTTACACATGGATCACATCGAATGGCAATACAGATTTCGAAAGTAAGTATTCATACGCATAGAGCTTTGAATTGCATAACAAACTTTAAGTATACTCAGGAAATCAATGCATAACGGATATCAGGTGACATTATTATAACAAAATGTCCTTAGACACAGTTACATCAAATGAAGTTTGTTGCAGTGACGTGGAAATACTTTCATTCATTCCACATCAACCTCACACTTCGGGAGCGTTGAGTGCGAAATTTGGGTACTTCACGCTTATTGCAAAAATAAATGGATAAATAAATGAACAAAAATAATGAATCAAATAAAATATATAGCATATGTAGAACAAGTACAACGTACGCCCATCGAATATGACAGCAGTGCCATTGCGATGTTGACACACCCCAGCGACCAGATAACGTAGTGCAGAACGACTTACCACGTGCTTCAGTTGCAACGTCGCACTAGTCTCGAAGCCAACGTCAGCCGGCGAAGCCAGCACCGTTCTACCGTTTCCGAGTCACCGTTGCGACTGGTATTTTCTTTTTTTTTTTTGTTGTTTGCGGCGACCGTTTTCTTTTTTGTTTTATTTACACCTCACCGCTTGCAGGCACGCGTAACCTGAGCTCACTCGGCTTATCGAACGGGCACGGCTGTCGCCTCGCATCCTGAGCGCCAGCCGTCCACAACACGGCGAGCCGTCACCGAACACGTTGACGCTGCTTGTGCCATAGGAAATTTTTTACGGTGCTACGGGCTGTCGCAGGGCAAGAACGCTCGTCTAGCTATCAGCATACGAAAGCTGTCTTTACTGTGAACTCGTTTGCAAAGCATTATTTTTTTACCGCTTGATGCTGTATCATCTTCCTCTGAACTGCTGAAGAGCTCATAGAACTGCATCCATTATTAAATGCTTAGATATCAACGGGAGTACTCCCGCAGAAATATATCCCATTCGAGAGTTGACTGATGTGCTTTAGTGGCTGATATTTTAAACTGAAATCTTTGTTTTGTATTTCAGGGAGCAATATCGCGCAACTTAGCTTTTTCTCGCATAGTGCCTGAATTTCTCGCATAGTGCCTGAATTAAGGCTGCAAGTAATAGCTTATGGCTGTGAATGAAAAAAAAAATGGCAGCATATCCACGGAGTGAATGATGGGGAGTGGGGCGAAGCATTCGTCCGTCCATTCGTTCTTGCTTCCGTCCGTTCTTGCGTACGTCTGTGTAACCGTCCATGCGTCCATCCACCCGTCCGTGCGTGCGTCTGTTCGTGCGTCCGTCCCTGCGTTCGTCCATGCATCCGCGCCTGCGTCCGTTTATGTGTCCATCCATGCATCTGTCTGTGTTTCCGTTCGTTCATCTATTCAGCACTCCAAATACCACCATCTCGCACCTTTTCATCATATATTGGATGGATGGATGGATGCTATGAGCGTCCCCTTTATAACGGGGTGGTGACAAGTATGTCACCAGGCTCGACAAAAAAAAACATTTTTTCTTTTTTTTTATGTTGGCCTAATGCCTCTACTTCGATAAATTCTATCTTAATGGAAAAAAGGTAAATTTTCAGCTTAAGTTCTCTGCCATTTACGGCACACTGTCCATATTTTATTTTTCCAATATTTATTTTTGTCCTTTCTCTCTAATTTGCTGCCACCAATACTCTAACCGTCTCTTACTTATTTCAATCGCGGGTGTGTTCAGCTTTCCATTGTTGTCCCTAAAGCCCAAGGCTTCCTGTAGGCTCGTGCCCAAACGTACACCTGGGTGGATATCTCCACATTCAATCAGAACATGCTCCGCCGTTTCCTTATCTTTCCCGCAGCATGTGCATTGTTCTTCTTCTTTACTGAATCTTGCTTTATAACTACGCGTTCTAAGGCAACCCGATCTCGCTTCAAACAGTAAAGCGCTTCCCCTTGAATTATCGTAAAATGCCTCCCTCCTTATTTCATTTTTGCCCTTTCGGTAGTTACTCAAAGCCGGTTTTTTCTCCATAGCTGCCATCCAGTAAATCCTCTCCGCCTCCCTGACTTTTCCCTTAACGCTCTTTGTTGACATATGGCTCACAATACCAGCCGTATATTTACTAGTGAGTCTTCTAATTCTTTTTCTCCACTGTGTGTCCACGCTCTTCCTATACAAATAACGGAACACCTTCTCTGCCCATCTACTCTCCTTCATATTCCTTAGCCTTTCTTCGAACCTTATTTTGCTCTGCGCTTCCCTCGCCTCAAAACCTGCCCACCCCATATCGCCCTTTACAGCCTCGTTTGTCGTCTTCCCGTGAGCACCCAACGCGAGGCGTCCCACAGTCCTTTGATTTACATCCATTCCCGATTGCACCTCTGCCCTCATGCACACCACTGAGTTCCCAAAAGTAAGCCCTGGAACCATTACACCCTTCCACAGACCTCGAAGCACCTCATACCTATTGTATCCCCACAACGCTCTGTGCTTCATTATTGCCGCATTCCTCTTTCCTTTTGCTGCCGAGGCTTTTTCCTGTACCTCCATGTATCTATCACTCTCATTTACCCATACTCCAAGGTACTTGTATTCACTTACCCTCGGTATTTCTTGGCCTTGTATGGACACCGTCTGATCACAGGGATCATTGAATACCATCAAACCACACTTCGTTACACTGAATCCTAGTCCAAGAGCTTCACCTTCCCTTCCGCATATATTCGCCAGCTGCTGTATATCATCTCGACTGTCCGCAAATAAGACGATATCGTCCGCATAAAATAAACCTGGAAGCTTCTGCTCAATCATCATGCCGCCCTGTTTGTGTGACAGATTAAAACCAATGTTGCTACCTTCTAGCGCTTTTTCCATACTCACCATGTACAGCATGAATAACAGTGGGGACAAAGGACATCCCTGTCTCAGACCCCTGCTAACCTCAACGTTCTCTTTGCTACGCATTCCTTCCCACTCTATGCAAACTGTATTTTCTCGGTATATCTCCCTCAAAAGCTGTATACAGTCGTCGCCCATGCCCATTCCTTTCAATATATCCCACAAAATTTCCTGATTAACGTTGTCGTATGCCCCAGTGATGTCTAGAAAAGCCACGTACAAGGGCCTATTCTCTATTTTAGATATTTCTATACACTGAGTGAGAACAAACAGGTTATCGTCTAACCGCCTGTCGACTCGAAATCCGTTCTGAAGTTCGCCCAAAATATCGTTATGTTCGGCCCATGTTTCTATTTTCATTTTTACTGCTTGCATCGCCAACCTGTATAGTACCGATGTAATGGTTAGTGGTCTATACGAGCGAATCTTGTCCTTTTCTCCCTTGCCTTTATAGATTAAGTTCATTCTACTTTGTCGCCAACTGTCCGGTATTTGTCCGTCCTTTAAGCTTTTTTCTACTGCTTTTAACAATGCTTCTTTAGTGTTATGTCCTAGTTCGTTAATGAGGCTAACGGGAATCCCATCTAAACCCGCGGCAGTGCGCTTTGGAATTTTTCCTTCGGCCTTTTTCCAGTTGAAATTATCTAGTACTAGCTCTTCCTCTGTTGCTTTCTCCGCCACACTTTTACTCACCGGGGAGATCCCCTGGACGCTCTTTTGAAACGAATCGGCTGTTACCTTTTGGATGTAACCTAGCGCTTCGTACCCTTCCAATTGATTTCCTCCTTCATCTAGAATATGTTGTTGCGTTGTGACAGACTTCCTACCTAGCGCCTTTATGTGGCTCCAAAAAATCCTAGGCGCGGCCTCCTTTTTTTCGTGTATCTCTGTCATCCAGCGTTCACTTTCACCTTTAATTTTTGCCTCTACCAATTTCTGTACAAGGGATTTTTTCTCCAAATATATTTCCCATATTTTTTTTACTTCGTCCTGCGGCCGCTTCTCCTTTTTTGCCTTTCTATGCTCCCGTGATGCTTCGCGTCGCTTCTCGATCGCCTCCCGGATTTCCTTGTTCCACCAACTTTTTGGCTTCCTTTTTCCTTTCCAGCAAACGGTTTTCTTCTCTTTCCCTATCTCCTTCGTCATTAGATGTAACAGCTCCCTATACTCCCAGTCCTTGCCTGGTATTTCGCCTACTTCTTCCTCGACTCTTGCGGCTATATTTATTATTTGTTTGTCATTTAAATACGAGCTGCCAGACTTTGATTCCATGCTCATATTTTTAGTTTCGTATCCCATTTGTAATGTTATTCGTTTATGATCACTACCCAAGCTGTTAATGCCTTCCTCGTCTATCCTCATTTCTGTCAGTTTGTGATAAATTCCTTCAGTCATGAGACAATAATCAATACTTGATTGCTTGTTTCCGACTTCCCCTGTGATCTGGCCGTCACATTTAGGCCCCGTGTTAACTATCTCCAGACTATGTTGCTCGCAAAGATCTAGTAATAACTTCCCATTGGTGTCTGAATATCCGTCAAGGTCATGTATGTGGGCATTCATGTCCCCTAGAAGGATGATTTTGGCCCCATTACCAAATTCCTTAATATCCGCACTCATGCAATCCACTATCTCCTGATTCTTTTCTCTGCAGTTATTCCCCGTCCACAAGTAGGCTACCCCTAGCCACGTTTCCTTTCCACCTACTGTGCCCAGAACCCAGAGGTGCTCTGAACACGTCTGTTTCACTCTAACCCATTTGGCTCCGCGGTGAATTAGCATTCCTACACCCCCACCTTTCCTTTCCGATATGGTCCTGTTACACCCTTCCCAAACATAATTTTTAATATGTGGTGGCTCTTCCAAGTCTCTAAGGTGTGTTTCTGTAACCGCATACACGCCTATCTGTTCTTTGTTTAACTGCTCCTCAATCTCTAACCATTTTGCCTTCTTTCTGCCACCCTGCATGTTTATGTAACTAATTGCAACACGCGCCTTTTTCCTTTTTCTTTTACCTTTTTTCTGGTTTTTCGCAATTCTACCTGTCAAAGCGTCCTCCTGGTTGTTTTCCCTGTTACGAGCTACCCCGGACTCCGAAGGGCCCGTGAGCCCCCCAAAAAAGCTACTGCGCGTCCTGCCAGTCGCCAGCCCACCTCGTGTCCAAGCCTCTTATCGAAATGAATCTTGTCTCTTTGGAATCCACCCCACCTGTGCACTTCCCTGTTTAAATCCACTACCTCGAAACCCTTCTCTCGACTAATTCGCCATATCTCTTTGTTTGCGTCGACTACCGCTCTTTGCAGGTTGACGTTGCGTACTGGTACTTCCGGTACTGTGCATACTACAATTTGCACCTGGGGGGACACGGTGCGCATGTCATCCACCCCTTTCGCCAAGGTCGTCGCTAGTCCTGACGATTCTTTTTTCAGGACGTCATTTAACCCTCCCGCAATTACAACGAGGTTACGATTGTTAGCTTTAGCTGCGAGTTGTTCACCCGCTTGACTCATTACTGTCCCCAGCGTTTGTCCTGGGAACGTCCCTATCGCAACTCTCTTGTCGCCTTTCACCCTTTCTTTGATTGCCGCTGCGCATCGGACTAAATTTGAGTCACCGGCGATGATGACCTGTTCAGACATTCCTTCTGAAACCTGCA